AGGAATAAGAAGTGGATCTTATTTGTGGAAGGGCGAAATGGGCTGTGACTATTAGACGCCTTCATTATAGCCATCTTTCTCTATCGCACGGATTTCTATGACTTTCTTTATCGCTCTCACGTAACGGCCGATGAACCATGGGGACTTTCCAACGCTGTATATAAACGTTAAAAACATTCGGAGCTGCTCGGCAAATATATCCACTTCTTGTGAATAATCGAAATAATATATCGAAAATTTACCTTCGTCGTTTATCCAATACTCACCCAACAGCGAGGAATATTTCAGATGTCGTTCGATGAAATCGCTCCCCCGCATCTCTCGGTGGTGAAATGTGTTCGGCAGCAACAGAACGACGCAGAGGCGTCACCAACGCCGACCTGAAATTCCTCAATTAGCATGTCAAAGCCTCCTGTGATGTTTTCGCGAGATGCACTCCCTCCCCGCCCCCCTATCGGAGTGGATCCTAATGGAAATTATACGCAGCCGGTTTATCGATTGTGTTATCATTAAATTCATTACCGTATTACTCAGCGAGAATTGGAATCGAAGTTGCTAATCTGATTTCGCAGGAAAGTAATTTTTAGCGAGGTAATTAATTCGGTTCCGTCGGGAGAGGTGGATAAAGGTTACGGGAGCGAAACGGGAATGAATAGGAAACGATCACAAAGGAACTAAGTGTTCTGGCTGTGTGTTTCGGAACGTGAACCGATTGAAAATTGAGTAAGGGTGTGTTAATTTTAAAATGGCCTGTCTACGTTCCGGGGCGGCTTGTGTGGATTCGGGGCGAGGAAGGCCGGGATGGGGTTTTATGATTTAATTTTAAAACTTGTAGCGGCGGTTTTCGTTGTCGAGCCGGCCAACGGTTCGTAATCCCACTTCTGATGGTAAATTTTATAATATTCAACAATGCACGGTAGCCACATCAGTTAATTAGTGAAGTAGATTGTACAGATGCCCCTTATAATTTCTAAATTTAGACACATCTACCTGGGCGTGCCAAACAAAACTAAATTAAAGGAAAAATTAGAAGGTATCGACGTTATTTCCAAAAAAAATTCTTGTTCGGTGAACTGTTAAAGGAAATTGGGAAAAGCACAGTTCAAAGAGTATAAAATCTATAATTTGCTTGCAATAAAGAGGACACCCATCATTACGGGCCCATTGACGACAATATCCAATAATCGCAATCAGCAAGCGAGCGTGTGTGACTCGAATACGATCTGATTTCCAATTCAGAAACGACGAACAAAGGCGGTAACGACGTAGGTGAGAGCCATTAGACGCTGCAACATCCACGGTAGTTATGCGAGCAGTCGGTAGACGTTTCGCGTACAAAAACCGCAGAATACACCTCAGAGACACCGCATAACATTATTTCGACGGTATTATCTGCATAAATAATAAATAGAGAATGGGACGTGCTCGGAATATCCGCATCCCGCACTAACACGCTGAATTAATGAAATTACAATTATATTGTAATGTGCAGAAAAAGATGTAACGTTTTATAAGTCTGAAAATACGTCTGAGAAGTAACCATAATAGTTTTAAAGAACTTTTAATAATAATAATCGATCTGAAAGTTACTCGGGAGTTTTTGGTGTCGCTGATTACGAATTTGGAGTCAAAATGACAAAATTCAATGTGGATTTAACATAGCCATATCAGAAGTAGAAAAATGTTGTAAATAGGGATTTTCCGAGTCGTAGAATAAGAATTTAACGATTATACAATACAAAATGACCGATATAACAAACATAAGAAATCACCCAATAAAAAAATTTTAATTAAAAATTGTTTATGTACAATAAAATAATTATTTTAAAACAAATATTATTTCAGTAAGAACATCGTATTCTTTTTAAACAGCAAATATCAATTTAAATAATGTCACATTTATCAAGCATAAAGAAAATGTAAAAATGACAATTGACATATAAAACTATTGATACACTCTGTTAAATAATTGTCGGGAACTGTTTATTTGAATTCCGTGCCGAAATTACAATATAAAATTCAATTTTTTTAATAAAAAAAAAGATTCATCATCAGATGAAAAATCTTCATTTGTAGCAGCATCAGCATCCGTCGAATCTTCTGAAATTGAAACAATTTCTTCTTTATTCACAATCTTTTCATATCTTACAATTGGAGGTAATAATAATAAGGTTATTGCATCTGACGACAGTGATCTAAACTATTTCTTAGTAGTTGCCTACAACTTAATATAATGTGCCCAAGGATGGGACAGACTTAAGATCTAGGAAACTGTAAGAGATACGGGGTGGCTTAAATTAGAAAAAAAATTTGTTTTTTTATACCTAACAGTATGTCGTTTAGAAAGTTTTAAAATTCCGGGTCGTTCCGAAGATATCCGGAAAAACCCGAAATTTTGCAAAATCGTTTTATTCTTCTACTGGCTTTATTTGAAAACGAATTTTAAAATAAATTGCATATTTAAGTTGCCACTTTTTTCGCTATATCCAATGACATAAATATTTTTGCAATATGACGTTTCGTCTTCGAGGGTCCATCATCAGGTTAATTTTTTTAAATACATCGCTACTTTTTTATAACAAAATCTAAAGTAATTTTTAATTCTGAATTAGATGATATTACTATTATAATCGTTATAAAAGGTTTTTAGCTTGTTTTAGCTAGCATTTCAAATTTTTCCTGACTACGACTCTGAACTCTTTCAAAATATCTATTGGAGGAAGTCATAACAGTATAAAAGTCAATACAGCACAAAATATCCAACAATTTTTGTTACTATTATTAGCAATACTAATTAGAAATAATAAAACATTTCATAAATTCGTATTATTTTTTATTAGGTACAACTTTTTTAAATTATTTATTTAAAAAAATTGTTGGATATTTTGTGCTGTATCGACTTTTATACTGTTATGACTTCCTCCAATAGATATTTTGGAAACGTTCAGAGCCGTACTCGATTTTGCAAAATTTCGGGTTTTTCCGGATATCTTCGGAACTACCCGGAATTTTAAAACTTTCTAAACGGCATATTGTTAGTTATAAAAAACACAACTTTTTTCTAATTTGAGCCACATCGTTTCTCTTACCGTTTCCTAGATCCTAATGCTATCCCATCCTTATCTTGGACACATGGATCTGATAATACTAGAAATCTTGAGAAAATATTGTCCAAACACCATGCCAAAATCGCTGATAAGATTAACGAAATCCAACTTGATCCTGGTGAGTCTTGACGTGGCGTCGGTGTTCACAAAACCACTAGTCATAGTAGCTTTGGAGGAAATTCATTGAATGCTTATCGCAGAAGGCAAGGATCATAATTCAGTAGACTTGACAAAGGTGTGCACCACGTTATTTTCCTTTAGAGATCAGTTTTATGAACGAACTGGGGCAGCAAATAAGGGTTCAGCTTTGACAAATATCTACGTGGAAGCTTCGTGAAGAAAACCCTGAAATCAGCAACTCTAAAGCCAGTGTTGATTGAAATATGTTGACAACACATTTATTTATTAAATAGCATCATACATATAACAACATAGAAGGGAATACATCCAGACATCAACTCCAGAATGGGGATGAAAAAAAAGTACCCTGCCGTTCCGAGACGTCCTTGTCAAAAAAAGCCCAATTGACAGAAAACCGACTCCATCACCCTGGTTATTAAGTCCAGAAACATATTAGTACATCAAGCAAATGAGATCTGCAAACCGGAACACTTAGACGAAGAACTGCAGCACCTCCAATCGGCTCTTTGACTATTTGAGAAAATGGAAATATAAACAGAAATATCGCATGACATTTAAGGACATCGAAAAGGAAAAATATTTGGCAACGACCTATCTGCCTTATATACACGAATATACGCTGACAAGATAAACTGAGTCTTTTAAAGCTGACGTTGTATAAACAAGAATATCGCACTTTTAGAAAGACAATGATAGAACAAGTAGATCCATCCAGGATGTGACGAAGTGTAACGCTATACTAGACCAATTTCTTTTAATTTTTCGTTTTGGAAGATCACGGAGAATCTGTAAACATCAGAAAGTGTGCCTTTCCTGTTTTGTCCAGCAAATTTGTAAAGATACCCAATAATTGTGATTAATGCATGTATTAATGGTTTCGTAAAAACATTCTGGGGGACATTTTTTCTAATTTGCTTAGATTTTCTAAAACGCTGGACAAAAAAATTGCGCATATAAACGCCTCCCTTGACAAAAAATGTTTTATTATTACAGAAGTGTAACCTTTCCGAAGCCTATTTAAAACTGATATATCGTTAATCAATTTCTACTTATGGGTAAAAGATATATCCCTCAGTAAATCCAATTTCAAACTTATAATGACTGTATTCAAATTACCTTTTAAAAAGACCTGATGTTTCACTCGCTTAACCAAGGTTTTTCATATTGTTTGATGTTCGGAATTTTAAAATATAAAACTTAAGATCCTCGATACAACGTAGGTGTAATTTTTTTGCACCAACTGTTAATTGTTTACAACTTTTAATGAAATACCTCCACCATTTCGCTTTGTATCAAAGTTTCCCCCAACTTTGTTAATTGAGATTGTTATATAGGTATCGGTATTTTAGATTTTGCCCAAAATTCTAATAGAGCTTTCGTGAAACTTCCCCTCGGAAAATGAAATCAAATCTCTTAGTTGTGCTGATTGTGTGTCATAATGTAATAGCTTCTATATTTTCATTACCATTTTGTAAAATTATATAAATATTAATATTATAAGCTCTTTTAAGTGACGTACAATTTATGCGTTGTTTGTCACATTCTTGGGCAACTGCCTGTCATTAAAAAATCACTGTATATTTAACGGAACTAAATCCATCTCCGTAATGTTAGTTAATTAACTTCTATTAAATAGTAGACTGACTGACAGCGCTATAATAAGCCGAATCGTACTTAAACTTAATTAAAACTTATGACATGATTTTAACGCCGTTGCTTTTGGTTTAGCTTACCAACTTGTTTTTGTTCCAGATTTCAAGATGTACAAACGACAGCTGTCAGGCTTTGTGATATTCTGGACGTTATTAACAGCTCTTCACAGGAATGTGGAAGCAAGTAAGTACAAACGAACTGTTGTTTTATCTTTAAAGTGTATAAAATACATTGAGAAAGGCAGAAAAATTTCTTGTGAAATATTTAGTTTGTGAATGAAAGTTAAATGCGAAAAAGAATGCGAAAATTTGTGAATTAAAATTTTGTTGAAGTATTTTTTTTTCGAATTACGTAATATATAAAATTTATACAATTTTTTAAAGATATACTTAGACTTGATAAACTTTATTTTCCCAGTTCAAATATTTAATGACACAAGAAGTGAGCAATGTTTTTTTTATGTCTACACATTAAAACAATGTTTTTATAAATAATTTGAAATAATATTTTACACAAATTTTGAAAACTGAAAATATGTAAGGAAATTTTGAATTTTCTTTCGATATTTGATGAGTGTTTAACGCGAAATTGAGAAAAATAACGCAAAAAAATTGTAGCATCTTAATCATTAATTGGTGTTTAAGGAGCAATAAACCTGCTCCTTCAATTTTTTATAAAACTGACGATTTAGGAAAGGAAAACTGCTCAACTGATCAATTTCAAAATTTACAGGCCTCATGGGCATGTATTGAGGTTAAAAAAACCTACAAACATTAGTACTTTTCGCAATATTTGCAAAGTAGTCGTTGATTTTACATAACAGCATTGGAACTGTAACTTCTTTATATTTTGGCCGATTAAAACTAAATAGTTTCCAATTATTCTCATCCATACATTAATGATAAATTTTTGTTAGTGTTTTGTCTGAGTAATAGCATGGGGGTTCTCGTCACTTCAAAAATATGCAAATTCTATTTGGAAAGCGGTTGGCGTAAATCCGAACAGCTTCAGAAGCATTCCATTCTGCAAGTTCGTACATTAGATGAATATCTGCAAATTCTTCATAGCTAAAATCCTCCATGATATTGAATCAACAAATGGTGTCAAAATGATTTATGGCAAAAATCTAACTGTTAATTATACATACTTGTTGACAGTCATCTCAATGTCAATAGAAACCAAGATTTTTGACACAATACATGTATGTTGTTCATAAAATTCGATTTTCTCAAAAACGGTATAAGATATCGACTCACATACGGTATACCTTTTTCTAGCAAAGTGAGAGAGGAATCGAACTATGAAAGAAAAATTACAAATTTGGCAACGCTGTCAAAGATGCATAAATATAAATGGATAATTTCGCCTGCTCCTGTATAATCCAGGCATATTCAATATCAGTTTAAACTTGAAAATTACCCTGAGTTATAACTGGAATTTGTTTTTCAAACTTCTTTTTTGAAGGCGAATAACTCCACAACGAAGCCTAACAGGATTTTTTTTATGAAGTAGGTACTACAACTATTCTGATATCCCCTTCATTTTTTACATGACCTTTCCAGGCACCCTGTATATTTTAATATTCAAATATATATTTTAATATTCTGAAATTTGAAGGCACGCCCCTGGCGCCGTAAATTGTCACAATAGTTCCGATAACAAAACTGTATTGGCTTATCATTTTCTTGGAATTCTATATCAACAAATATTGTACGGATTGTAGTACTGGTTGAAACAATCCAGATTCAAAGAAATGAGATCCAAGAATTTATTAGATATTCCGCAGTATGCATTTATCTGCAACATTTTCAAGATATCCCACTTTAGCGCAAAGTTTCAGAATACATTTGAATACCTACTACTTTTTATTAAAGAAAGTTGGAAACTCAATATAGAACAGTGTTCATAAATATGTTCCGGGCCAACAAGAAAAATAATATGACAACATATCTCTCATATTACTTTTAAACTTGATATTGCATTTCGAAACTTTAAGCATCCATTTTTCATATACCTCAAGCAAGGTCCTAAATAAATGAATCGCAAATTGCGAAGATGGAGAAGTTTTTTTATTGTTTTCTATCGATTTCTTTATGATGGAATACCTGGTGGTGTCAGTGTTGTTTACATCTTCTTCAGAACGAATAGAAAGTTAATTTGTAAGACTTAAATTGTGTTTATTACTAAAGATTCGAACAAGATCCTAAATCTATAACAAAATAAGAAATATCAGTTTTTGAAACTTTCATCTTTTTTCAATTCAGTACTTTTACTTATGTTTTGAATGCATCTAACCCAGATTCTAGCTTCACCTCCGCTAAGCAAATGTTAGTAGCATTTTGACAACAGCTATAAAGAGTTTAATTTATTTTGTGGTTATTATATTAAATCTATGGTTACAAATCAAGGTCTCTTGACAAAAACTATAAGACAGACAAAGTTTTGTACTATTGAATTGCTTTCCTACCAAAGGAATCACAAACATTAAAAAAAAACAAATCCATCAAAAACAGTTGAATGTTCTTATCAAAAAAAGTTCTCTGCTGTCTTGTTCCTTGTAGTTATTAAATGCACAAAATAAAGTAGTTATGAATATCACATTATTTCAAACAGATTTCAGACTCTTTTTCATTGCCTTAAATCGAGTAAACATTATTTTTTAGATGGAGAGCCGTAACAAATAAATTGGAAAATTTAAAAATTGGCAGTGAGTATGGATTTAAAATTTCCATAAACAAACTGCGTTTATAGTATCGCATTTACAATCTATCACTCAATTTTGTATTGTATACAGAAACTCTTCACATCTTTGTCTAATAATAATCGTTCGTAAATTTTGATTGAGGACTTGTCTCTTTCATAAATAATAGGTTAATAGCCGGATTTGTTTTTTTTTTTTTAGTTAATGCAGAACAATGTATTTATTTTTAGTTAACTCAGATCCTGCCATGACCATGGAAAAATTGAAGGTTATTTCAATTTCCTATCTATTGATACAAATATTTCATTCACTTACATCGAATATTCCTTACCCATTTGCCTCTAAATATTATTTATAATTGGATGGTATTTTATCCTACTATAAATTAAAAAATTAAAACGGAATATGAGTAAATGCCACAAGGATCAACGTGAGGTTGTTTTTAACAAATTTCTTTTTCATTAAAAATACTTTTTAAAATGTATGTTGTCAATATAGGTTGCTTTTTGAATCATCTTAGGCCATTAAAAGAAAAGACTGAAATCACTGATTTGTTGAGGTTTGGAACAATAACAATATCGGTAGTATCACATTAAAGTACATTCATAGAATTAACAGAATGACAATTATTGCATTGAGTCAGTACCACATAAAAATTTCAAAAATTTTAAATTTAGTTATACTCTAAGAAGATATTTTGACAGTCAATACAAAATTAATAATATAAAAATACATTCAATAACTTTTTATTATTAATGCTATTATGATTAATGAATATAATATAAAAGCTTACTCATTTAATTTACGTAAATGAATAATTTCTCTGTGATGTTCGTAATATGAATGTTCAACAATTTAAAGATAAGTAACACATAATAATTTTCTCCGATATTCAAGAGCACTTTTTGCTTAAAACGGATGCTATAGTCTTTTCGAAGTCGTTCAATGTATAAAAACGCCTAGTAAAAAAATTTAATGAGTTTCATAGACGTCCCAAAAAAAGTTTTCTGCTAAAGGTAATAATAAGTTATAATAATTTGTATATAATGTGTAGAAAATTTCTATTATATGTTCGTATAGCCAACAACATATAATTATTTATGACCTCAAACCATTTTTTTATATTGATTGTAAATTTCGTTTTGTTCCGTTTCAAAAGGTCTCCAAAATGCCATGTTGTAATAATATTAGTAAATAAAATATCCCCTTTTCGCAATTGTAATATGAATAATTGGTAGAAGGTGCCTATAATAAATTAAAATTACGTGAATCACACCAAATTCCGCATTGCTGCTCTGCAATGCGAGGCAATTTGTCAACCACTTGTCAACAGCTGAGATTTATTGCCCAGTCGCCCAGTTCGGCTGCCTGTGTACGGCTTTTGCCCGCGCATACATTCTTCAACTGAGAGTATACATCCACGTTTACTACGACCAGACCTGTATATAGGTATGGCTAAATAAATATGGGAACAAGTTTTTCAAATATGTCAATGTCGAGTTGCTGCGTCAGCGACCGACCTGGTACATACTGCCAACCTCTTGGTTCCTCAATTGAGATCGGAAAGACTATAACTGAACTCAAATCAACGCTGATCTCTTAAATCTATGAATGTACTTTACACTGCATTTGAGCGCAAGGAAAGACAAACGAAAACGCCTCATTCTATTGACGAAACGAAAGCTGGAATACCGGAATTATTTATGACTATGGGAATCGTAAAGTCAATTGTGTATTTGTTTTTACAGCTGCTAGAAGAATTGTTATATAAAAGAGAGTGGAAAATAGTCTATTGTCGTAATATGAATGTGTGGCGCTTGGTACGTTTGTACACTGAAAACAATGGCTATACATATCCTCTACATACCTTATTCAATTATTTTTGTGCATACAATTAATACAGTTATATAATATTATTCAATAGCAGTGTCTTTACATTGCATGTATGTATATTGATTCATTGGTATAAATATTATTTGCCATAATTATTCTGATAATAAATTAATCAACTGGTACTAATTATTGGTTGACAGAAAGTGTCAATTTATTAATATGATAAATAACAATTTATTTGTTATAACATCCGCCTACTTTATTTTTACAAATTTTCGCAATTACCTCGTTAGTGAACGATGACGCATATAATCTTTTTACTAGAAAACCATCGGTTTCATCGAAAAGTTACAAGTGGTAAAAAAGTTGCGCAATAAATCAGTCTTCCCAATAAATATTTTTTAATAAATAATTTGTTTCATATAAAAAATTTCTAATAAAATACTGCAATGGGGTTGACTGTTTCACTCCTTTATAAAATACGCCAATGATCGAAAAAATATTGAAAAGTTGTCTCTTTATTAGTAGGATGCTCATACCAAGTTTCGTGTCTCATGTTAAAGAACAAAATTAAAATGTGAATTTCAATCTCCCTCCTTTAAGAGGGTATATCGCCTCAGGGGTGCAACTTTCATAACGAGCGTTCAAA